AAAAAACAATGCGAATTGCAAAGCCCAGTTCAACATGAATAGATCAAATAATCAGGAACTCAACGTTGATAAAAGCACATAACACATCATAACACCAGAAATGAAACAAACTGCTCGAAGGCCCTTAGCCTTCAAAGCTTCCCTTGGCACAGCACTCTCCTCCTTGGCCTTGGCCTCCAACCAGCTAAACAGGCTTGAGTTTTATCCAAAATCAGGGCAGGTTGCCATTTTGGGAGTCATCTCCACAACGCCCGCTCCATCACCCACACAAACTTGCCTCAAACTCGTGCTTTGCCTTCTGCAGCTCTTCCTCACGCAGCATGCAGGTGCAAATGTGGCAGTCAACAAAAGCTCGAGGAAGGATGTTCGACCACCATGCATTCCTCCAGTCGCTTTCTCTTTTGCTCCTCCTTGACTAGACTGTCCTGTGGCTGGGGCACGGGTACACCACCAGCAATTGAAGTTCACCAGCATGCGCAAAAGGGCGTCGGCATCAACATGTCGTCAAACAGAACACCACGAAAATAAATCACCCGTTCTTCATGTCCTTCACTCGAGCCATGCTGGGAAATTTGGTGATTGACGGCATTGTTGAGGCTGTTGACTGTGGAGCAAGTTTCAATCCAACTGTGTCATCCTTGCACATTGGGAGGAAAAAATAATCGGATGCCCTCCCATGGCACAAGCCAACAGCCCGTCAAGCTCTGAGCCTTCAAAGCTTGAACTTGCACGGCACTGCTCTCCTCCTTTGCCTTGGCCTGCATCAACCAGTTGCACAAGCTATGGGAAGATATACTCACAGAGTCCCATGAAGCAAAGGACAATGGCCTCGTGCAATTGGCTCTCCATTCTGACCTTTTCAGCCTGGCAAAGGGAGGGCTATGGATGGGGATGGCAAAGTATAAAGTGTCGCATCCTGTAAAATCTACCTTGCCATAGGGTGTCGGTGTCGTACATGTTACACTAAGAACCAACATGCGCATCCACTAAGGCGGGGGACAACCAATTTGATCAAACGTTGGTGTGAATGCTGGACTCGACACAAATGTTGCCCCGGCCAACTCAACACAAATTCAATCGCTCATAGCAAGTGCCTCAAATTGTTCCTTTTCCTTCTTCCGCTCTTCCTTGCAAGGCCAGGGGGGTAGTAGCAGTTTTAACGGCACGCTTGCATAATTTTGCTTCAATTTTGGCACTGGACTTTCCCCCCCGTACGAAGTTGGACACAACCCATGAGCGTTGGCCTCACCAACACTCAACCCTTGCAGCGGCGACAATGTGTGAACCTCTCTAATATCCCCTATAGGACTACAAGTCTCACATGGCCCTGCTCTTGTTTCTCTTGTCAAATGTCCCGTTCCAAGTGCCCGGCCAGCACGCTACGCTCACGATCCACAACTGCGGGAGCCTCCAAAACACATGAGATGAGAGGTTGAGAGACTTTCAGAGATTTCCTGGCGACATCTGGCTACCAAGTTGAACCATCTCCGTCCAAACACCCACAAGCACCACTCACCAAGCTTGTCGCACTCTTCCGTCTACATTCGCACACAAGGTGCAACCCCTCTCCCATTTTTCGATAAGATGTTGTCAAGCAGATTGAAAAAGGCCTCGGACTGCCCCTTCCCCTTCTTTTGGTCGCAGTCGTCCTCGCACTACATATCGAAAAGCGGTAGGAAGCATACTATCAAGTTGAAAAAATATCTATCAAGCAAGTGATCGTACATCTAAGCGCGCGCACACACACACACACTTAGACAAGGGGTTTGCAGTTACATCAACTCCCCGAGGAAAAGAGAGAGGGAACAGAAAGGCGAGTGAGTCCGAAAAATTGATGACGTTTAAAAAAGGTCTTGCAATCGCTCAGAAATCGCCGATAACGGGGGTGGCGCAGCTGCACGACGGTGAAGAACACGGTTTTGGGATCTATCATGCAAGGACCATGAAACCAAACAAGGGAGTGGACAGCGTGAGCAACAGATTCTTTGCAGGTACAGGTCTGTGCGTCCACAGGCTCATCCACCCGTTTCTCTAGTTTCGTTGGTTAGCGTCGAGAAATGGGCCGCTAGCCCCCTGCACTGAACAAAACTCTTCGGGACAGAGTGTGACACACACACACACAGAGCGCCGATATCGGCGCTCGAAAGAAATTTACTAGCCACCTAAAAGCCTTAGAAAGAAAGGAAAGAAAAACAGAAAGAGAAGCCGAAGAGGGCAAAAGAGGAAGGTAGGTGGAGTGACGAGGCCCACTAGTTACGAAACCTTCTAGTTACTGACTACTTAGCGGTATGAATTTAAGGCACTAGTTAGCGAGCGGGACATTAGTCTTAAGCCGCCCGGGTAGATAGGACTAGGACAGGAGAAACAAAAGGAAAGGCACCGACATACAAGTGTGTCGAGTACCATTTCCTTCTGTTACCCTAAATAGCGGGTGGGATGAAAGTGTGAATTCGCGTGCAAGGTGGGGGGGCTTGTGTGTGTGGCACACATATATATGACCGTAAGCCCGGCGGCTGTTGAATCTCTGTAAACCCGGCGGTGTTGCGGCAGGAAGTTCATTGGGTGAAACAATCAATCCAGAAAAGATAATCCAACGTGTGCAGAGAACGCTGTCAGTATGTGATTCCCGATGGTCTCAGTGCTCCATTGCGGGAGATCACACTCTGCACCCAGTGGGGCGGCAGAGCGGCACACACTTAGACAAGGAGTTTGCAGTTACATCAATTCCCCGAGGAAAAGAGTGAGGGAACAGAAAGGCGAGTGAGTCCGAAAAATTGATGACGTTTAAAAAAGGTGTTGCAATCGCTCAGAAATCGCCGAAAGCGGGGGTGGCGCAGCTGCACGACGGTGAAGAACACGGTTTTGGGATCTATCATGCAAGGACCATGAAACCAAACAAGGGAGTGGACAGCGTGAGCAACAGTTTCTTTGCAGGTACAGGTCTGTGCGTCCACAGACTCATCCACCCATTTCTCTAGCTTCGTTGGCTAGCCTCGGGAAATGGGCCGCTAGCCCCC